CCTGATATTTCATGTTGCACAATGTAATTGTGAACTAAAACTGATGGAGGTCTTCAGATATAAATCTTATATAGAAATGGAGCATTCTGTGTAAATAACAATTCACAGCTAGATACTGAATGCGACACGTCAAGGAATTGGCAGTTCCTATGTCACCAAATATGCAATTAGCCCGGATTTTCTACAAAAATGACTAAAAACCTGATCATTTTTCTTACATTGCGTCAGTGGTACAAGAACACAGTGATACAGACATCTGGAATTCGGCTTCCCTTCCCGATCCATTTTATATAAGTCAGGCCAAACTGTATCAAAAGTAAAACTCCCTGTAACCAAAACACAACACAAAGGGGATTTTCTGGAACAATTAAAGCAGAACTCCAACTTTGTATATAAAATTATTGATGCTTTTGTATTTGCCTTCCGAAGTCTGTCCTGGTAATCATTTTGCTCCCATATCACCAGCCTGGAGGTAATTGCAAAGTCAATTACATTTACTAGGGATGCACCGAAACTAGTATAGTTGCCGATACCGAGTATTTGAGCAAGTACTCGTATTCGCCCAAATGCTCCAATACCTACCACCGATAACTGAACTTCCGGCCAGAGGGAAATTACCTCTGACCGGCAGTGCCACAAGGAAACATGGAGCTGGCTTCTTGGCCAATCAGGAAGCCGGGTGATGGGTAATGACCCACCTTCGATTGGCCAAACAACCACCACGATGCTGATTGGCTGGGAAGCCGGCTTCCAGCCCAATCAGCTTGGAGCCGGCTTCCCGTGTTATTACCCATCGCCCGGCTTCTTGATTGCCCGGGAAGCCGGCTCCATGCTAGCGAAGTATTGGTATCCTCGTGTAGCAAAATATAAATGTCGGTACTCGTACTCTATACCGAAAAACCGGTATCGGTGCATCCCTAATATTTACTGCTCTGTCTCTCCAGGTGAGACAGAATGCGTCACACAGTCACTTGCTGTCAGGAGCAATGTAATTTAAAATCCCCTCTGTAGTCGTTGAGAAGTGATGTCAGGCAGGATTAAAGGGAAAGCCAATTATCATAGAATCCTGCCCAGCCATGGCTATGTAGCGGAATGAGCTGTGGGCGGTGATAACCTACTTCCCTTTCACCACCCACAGAACTGACCACAGGTTCCCAGAAACTACACACGTCCCAAAGAATCATGGGCTATGTACTGTAGTTTGGGGAACCGATGTCAGCAGCACATTGGAGCACCCTGGACTCGCAAGAATCGTGGGAGAGAAGCAATGATGTCAAAAAGATTACAAAAGTAGATTTAAGGCAATAGAAACACTTGAAAAAAAAAATACAACACTTCAATTGTGGTGGCAATTGTAGACAACAGCGAACTTTGGGGGACATAAATAAATCCTGGTAGTTGAGCTTTAATGGCTATAGGATTGTACTCATTTTCATTTTACATTTAGCAAAGTGCAGACAGAATGTTGCTAGCTTCATATAGTAATGAGCTCATGCTGGATTATACCTTGTGCACTCTGAAGCAAATAACTAAATATAAATTTAACTGTAGAGGTGCCAAGGCAAGGAACATCCACTTCCCCGCAACTTGGCGTCAGTCTCTCAAACATCTTGGAGTGTTTATCCCAAACAGGGGCCTTTCCAGCTGCCAACTTCAAAGACCATGGAAGCCACACTTGGGGAAAAAAAGCATATTACTTTGCTGAAAAATAAACTTCCTGTAATACCTAAATCCTATTTGTAAAACATTACAGTTTTTTATCTGTGAGAAGTTCCTTGATATTCAGAAGCTTAATAAACTTATATCTGTAGACTTGCTGCCAGTCTCCCTTTATATGGTAATCCAATCCATCATCCTTTTGCAAAAAAAAAAAAACACTTTTAAAAGGCCTCGTCTCTCGTTGCAGTTTTGAATACAGAGGTAGATATCTCTGCATCTTTCTGTCCTGAAACCAGAAGTGAAAAATACCTGCAGAGAGCAGGCCTACAGGGAAAGGGAAGGACAAGAAAATGAGATTACATGGTATAAATAGACACACCAAAATTAAGTGAAGGAATAAATGTGGACAGAGGCAGGAATAGGATGTCAGAACCATTTTATTACACATCTGTGCAGTATATTGATTATTCCAGTTTCTCTAATATTGTTCAGCAGAAGCCTACATGTAGCATCAGAGCCTAGTGATTATTCACAACAGTCAGGAAGAAATCTAAACGATTGTACAGCGCTGCGGAATATGTTGGCGCTTTATAAATAAATGTCAGGAAGAAGAGAGCTGACAGCTAGAGGGCTTTTATATTATATTATAAAGGAGGACGGAGACTATAAAAATGTACAGCACCAATTATGTGACCAGTTCCACATGTATGATAAATATGGACTCCATGATTGTTTTCCTATCGAGTTTATATATTTTCAAATCTTCACTTATCTGTAGAGTTCATGTTGTTTATGAGGAGCAGCAATGTTAGAACAGAATGATCACGCTGTTCTTGTTTACTCTGGCGAGGTCTGTTGTTTAGGCAGAAAAATTACGTCTCAGAGTCTGCGTTGGTTTTTTATTTTATTTCATGCTTCAGCTTCTTTTTCTCAGAATGAAAGATCTCACCTACTATTAGTAGATGGAGGGCCATTTTATACTTATGGCTATAGAGTAGTTCAGAAGTAAGCTTGTGATTCAGGGGAAGAAAGGGACTGAGGATGAGTGCTAGGCTAAATTATAAATATACCAGGAAGAACACATTTAAAGAAAATCATGCAAATATGGTAACATGAGTATTGTTTTACCTATATATTTTAATTTTTGGGGGTAATCGTTTCCCGTTAAATATAAAATTCTGCATGTTAAATAATAAATTTTTGCTAATATATTTTATTTTCCTTTTGGATGGATCTTGTGCAGAGAACATTTATGCAATGCCTTTTGGTGTCAGATTTCCCAAACGCCTCTTCTTCCCCTTATAAAAAATTCTGGTTTTAATTAAATAAAGCTGTAGCTAGGAGAGACCAATCCTTAGACTTGCATGGCAAGGAGTCCAGAAAACTGCCATATTAGCTAGACTCTAATGACAACAGCCACGTCCGAGTTGAACGCATTTATAGACGTTATTGATGGGCGGCTGGTTTACACAAAATGACATTTTCTCATTTCTAACCGGAACTTTCTACACTGTTTTCACAGATCATTAACACACATACAAATTCTCCTTTATATATCTGCCATTCAATCTGCCTTCTACATATCTCTACCTTGTGGCCTTCAACTTCACATTCAAAATCCTTCATCTAATGCAGCAATGCCGAGACCCAACACGGCTTTGAAAAGAATCACTTTTGTTCCCTCATTGCCTTGGGCCCTCCTACTCCTCTAGCTCAACTATGCAAAATCAACCGCCATTTATAGGAGGAGATCATGTCATCTCCACATAATATTATTACAGTACAAGAGGCTGAGCTAAATCCTGACAGTGACAGGTCCTACCTGGCCATCCTCCCACAATCCTCTGGACTTTCACATAAACAAAATAAATATTGAACTTTTGAATGTTTTTCTACATTTTCAGGTTCAAATCCTCTTATAGGAAAATACTCTAAGATAGAATTAGTGTGGAAAAATAATATTACTTGGCGCTAGTACAAGCCGCACTATTCCAGCTGCTTACTCATCAAAACAAACTATGACATAAAATCCTTGCAGCTGAAAAATACATGTAAAAGTCCTTCTTATAAAATAAGCTAAAATTTAATGAGGAGCTCCTATTTCATAGATTACATTCTGTGTAAAAATAAATCATTTTCTACTTTGCATTTGGTAAACAATCTAAATAATAGTTTCTACTTTATTGCACTTTAAACTGTCTACAGCCACCCCAATAATAATCTAGTTCTACACCGAATTCTGTTCACGCAGCATCAGGGGTGTACAGAGTATAGTAATCTATAACGACCATTGTCCATTTCAGTAGATTAGGGAAAGGTAGCTAGACACTATGGGTTACTCACTGTACACAATGCTTTTTTACCTTAGAAATAAAGTTTGTCTCAACCTAGAAACATTCTATGCTCTCTGTACTAAATATCCACAGATAAACCAATTAACATTACAAGTCAATAAGGTCTGTCTTGTGTTTCGTAATGCCTACCAGATCGTGCCTGGCAGTGACAATATCAGTATATATAAGTTCTTACAGGTCTCTTAGGGCATAAACAGGTACCCAGTGCCATGTCACAACCTCATGGTAAGGGGACCATAATTCCAGCTCCAGCTGCGTCTCTGGCCACAAGCAGCGTTTCCTCAATCTATGCAATGGAGGGCAGGTTCTTCGGCTATTATCATTTTATTATGGAAGAAAATCTTTTTTCTTCTTTGGGCCCATGAGCAAAAAAAAAAGTAAAGTACAGATTTCTGGATAAAATACCTTACATTTCCTTCTATATGCAAGTCTGATGCACCATAAACCTGAATGGCACAGAAAGCCGTGTAATGGGCCTTACTGCCAGCAGGACTTAATAAAACCTCAATAGCCCAAATTGGAAGATTTTTGGTACAATTTTGAGACCCAACTTAACTGCCAACTGCAGGCTAGCTGACAGCCTTACCATTGTTTCGTCCTAACAGTAATAGGAGCGAGCCAACCCCTAGTATGCCTGGTTACTGCTACTCAAAGTGTTACCAGTTTGATAAGACCACTTTAACTATGAGAAGCCTAGAAAAAGGCTTTTCATGTTGCTCTTATTTCCCCGGCTTGGACATGCTGTACACAGAGCTTGTAATTGCCAGAGATACTGAGCACTTTACAACACACATATAGCATAAAGGCATACACAGTATTTGCTCCAGCTGAGAAAATCTTTGATCTTGTTTTTATGTATAACTGCAAGGGCTGAGGCATCCTCTTGGAACCAAATGGACAAAAACCTGTCCCTAAAATAGACTGCCACATAAATGCGTATCCGAAATGTCATAGCAGATAAACAGGTGATTTCTGGACATCATCTTCTGTTGAAACACCTGTGACCTTTCTACGTACCACCAATTGCTAATAGTGTAAAAGGTCCTTGAAGTGTTCGCTAATTACCATTTTTAATAAGTCGCCATTGCTTGTGAACTGATAGATGATCATCCACACCCATGTCAGGAAACTCGTCCTCGGAGAAGCTGATGTGAAGACAGGTGTCGTTGGCAGGGGAGAAAGGAAGGGTGGTCTCCACGTTCAGTTGCCTAACCAGTTCATTACATGGAGGCGTCTCAGGCACAATGGTTGGCGTGTCTTCCAGGTTGTCGTAGCTGCTGGTGATGGAGTGAAAGGTCCCGTTCTCCTCGATGGATTCCTGGTGGAGAGGCCTCCCATTTATTGGAGAGACATCACTGTTTTCAAAGCTAGGGAAGTAAGAGTTTTTAAATGTTGGGCTAATTTCCTCCAATTCAATGGGTGTTATAGAACAAGAAGTGATGGTGGTAAAACTGGTCAGGTTGAGGCTGGTTGGTATGGTCACATTCTCATTGGATTCACTGATTGACCCCGATAAGATCTTGGAGGATCTCTTTCTGGAGATGGGAGGAGGAGGGATCAGCTTTGGAATGGAGTGAAGAAGCCTTAAAGGATAAAAGGAGGCATACTTTAGTAAATTTCCAGCTTCATTGTTGATGTTACACAAAATTTCTGAAACCAACTAATCTGTACGATGTGTACTTAAGGAAACCTGCCATTACAGATATAAGTGGGCTGCAATAGCTGATCTTTCCTGCTAAAAACACTACTTGCTTCGATGTAATGCTGATGCCTTGTTTTCAATAAACTTAGTTACTGACCCAGTAAAAGACAAGTGAGAAGTTCTGACTTTTCTTTGCCTATTTGCAGCATGCTTCTTCTAGATCTGTGCTTTATTTTAGAATCACATCATCCAGCGATGTAGATCCTAGTCAATCACAATGAACGACGGCTGCTGACTCGCCAAAATAAAAAAAGTCCCGCAGCCCGCCAACCCATCCGATGCCGACAAACTCCCCCCGCAAAATGACAGCTCTGGCTCGAATGTAAACAAATGGGCGGAGCGAGTAATGACGTCCCGACTCGCTCCGCACATTTGGTTTTCATTCAATGCCAACTGTCTGTCCTCATAAGGCATGTAAACATATGGGCAGAGCAAGTCCTGTGACGTCCCAACTCGCTCCGCCCATTTACATTCGGTCCACAGCTGTCATTTTGCCACAGGAGTTCGACGGCATCAGACGGGTTGGAATGCAGCTGGCCTTTTTGTTATTTGGACGAGTTGGCGGTTGTCTTTCCTTGTGATTGATGAGGATCTACATCACTGGATTACATCGATGGACACTTTTTTGTTTTTTTTGCCTTGTGTTTTATGTTTAAATAAAGGACTTTTTCATGGTGTTGTGTGTTTATTTTATCCATTTTCTTTACTATTTGGTGAATGAGTAGGGGTAACAACTACCCCTTACTTATTCACAAGGGGGGGCACTCAGATGCAGATAAGCTCCCCTGCCCGCAGATCCCCACAATCACCGGGTCAGGGTTGTGGGGAAGAGGCCCTCGTCCTCATCGACATGCGGACAAGGTGCTTTTCCAGGAGGTCCTCCCTGGCAAAGAACCCTCCCAATGTTGAGGGCATGTGGCCTGGTATGGTGGGGGTGCACACTCATCTCCTCCTCCCCCCTCTTTCCTGCTCTGCCACACCGCTGCTCGTATTAAGGGTCTAGTATGGCATTTTAGGGGGGGTCCCCACATTATTTTCCCACCGTTGTCCCCTTTAAAATATCTACCAGACCTAAAAGGGTCTGGTATGAGTTTGAAGGGGAATCCCCATATTTTTGTTTGCCACCGGGGTCCTACCTATATTGGGAAGAGCACTACACAGTTTTTTGGGGGGTTTTAAATTCCATCTTTTAGCTATTTTACACTGCTTTGGTGGACCATTCTCCCCACTTCGGCTGTTTGGCTTTGACGAGCTGGACAATGTTCGTTTGGCTCGGCTGCATTCAGTCTCTTACTTTGGCTGCAGAACGCGCTATTGAGAATAGTGCATACTGCAGCCATTCGGTAAATCAAAGGGTTTCTGCAGCCAAAGGATTAACCAAACGTTCGGCTAAATCCTTCAGCTCCTTAGTGAATAACCCCCTATAAAATACATTCACAAGTGAAGCTCAAGTGCAAGCATATCAGCAGCCTACACAGAATGGAACTCAATGATGGTAAGTGGAAACAACCTCATTATGGTTAATGATGTGCAGTTTGGTGGACAAAACATTCCTTTATGGACTGTCCCCGATGTAAGCATTTTCTCAAAGTCGAAAATGAATAGTATAAAAAGAAATGTGTGATATAGTGATATATAAATAGAGTCTAGAACAATAAAGGATTTCTACTAGTCCTTCTTTTGATGTCAAATATAGGATGACAAATAAGGATGAGGAAACACTTAGGCACATAAAATGTAGGTGTTGTCTTTGTAAGGGAAATGCCATCACTCAGTGCCATTTGCAAGCACTACAGCTAGGCCCAAGTTAATTGGTTACACACATGGCTGTAAGACAAGCCTTGACCCTTACCAAGGTGCTAGAATATTAAGCTATTAGGTAGTCACCACTGTGCTGAGGAATAGATCTGTGCTGTGTCCTTAGCAGCAGAAGCTTGTGGTAAACAGGGTGGGAATCTGTGCAGCAGAAAATTCACATGTAGAGGCCCAAAACCGATGTGCTGTGAAAAAGAACAGGCCCCACCCATTTTCTGTGATGCAATGCCAGCACTAAGGAAAAACTTAGAAAAAAGGTATCTATAGTGCAATAAAAAGCAGTCTGCCACAATGAAAAGAATCCCTCCTGCAGCCTCCCTATGGTTCTCTATGAGTAAGCCTGATCGGTGAAACGCGTTACAGGTCGGGGATTCATGTGGGAGGAATGGACAGCGTCTCTTTTGCCTTTTGAATAAAGATGTTATCTCCAGTGAAGATCATCTGAAGTGCGTTTTTTGTCTGGAACCCTGTAATCTGGAGCAGTGGCTCGTTCACTACCTGCACCTGGGACATAATCGAGGTGGGGAGCCAGGTTGAGAATGGGAGAGGTGTTTTGTTTGTCTTCAACCGCCAGAAGCTGATTCACAGAAACAAATGTACAAAAAAAAGTCTAGATCCAGCAGAGCAGGACACTAAGCTAAACTGAACTACTGAGGAGGTACAGGGCTATAGCCATTAAGTGGAGCTAACCCCTGTAAGAAGCATGTATTTACCCAAACACTGAAAAATAAAATTCGGTGTTGTCCAATGGACACTGAAAAGAAATAGCTTGAAATGTTACATTCCAGTTAATGAAAACTAGAGGCTTTTCACCCAAATTCTATCTGTCAGAGTGTGGATGTGCAATAATTCATAGGAACCCATTAAAAATCACCTTTCACAAATCATACTGCAGGAAACTGGTGAAATGTGTTTGATCTGGATTACCACGTGTTACTTTTCACTGTCTTATTTAATAAACTTATTATGTATCCTGCTAAATGGAGAGAGCAGAATATAAGGTCTGGACCAGTGTTATAAGGCAATCGCCTTCCGGGCACATACAGAGCTGTCACTCATCATATGACTCCTATCATTCTGCAGCCATTCTGTGGATTTCCCTCGTATATAATAGCTCTGCTCACTCTCTATACATACCTCAAACAGCAAGCAGCTTAATCGCCGTGACCAGTCACTATATGCTGTGTGAAGTGGCCTTGCAGGGAGAGTTGTACAAATTACCTGCAGATCTTTAATGTGTCAGGTCATAGAGAACTGGAGGTGCTACTTATACCACAAGTGTGACATTATCCGTATTTGAATCCTAACACAACCATTATCAGAAATGTGGTACTGGAACACAGGACAAGAAGATAAGAAACTGTGTAACCTTTATTTACTACACATACCTTATCCCCCCTCCCGGTTGAGGTGAAAGGACTGATCTATAAATGCAGCATTTTTCCCTCAAAACAGCACAAATATGAATGGTGTCACTCTTCAGTGTTCAGCCCACTGGGGGAAGTGCAGCCTGTTGACATTTAACCTCATGCTTTTATCTATGTGGACATAAAGGGTACAGTATTTATTGTGTCCAAAAAGAGATGTTTTTTTTTTTTTTTTGTTGCTATGGGGCAAATGGGAGCTCAAAACAACCAACTGAGAACATAATTCCCTTTCCCACAATAGGATATTTAGTAAAGCAATACAAAAATAATTATATGCATAGTGCAGTAACGCACAACAACCAGATCAGTTAAAGATCATTTTTGATTGGTTGTTATTTCCTATTGTAATTTAGCACATCGCTGTTTTTTGTCATTAAAAGAAAAGCCTACAATTTCTCTAAACAGATTACAAACTGCTATGATGACATCACACAGGGTAGGTGGAATTTCAGTGCATTACTGCTGCTTATTTCAACTTACTTGTCTTCTTCAGTTTGGTATGAGAGAACCTCAGTGACCTCCGATCCCTCCACCTTCCGTCTGACCACATCCTTTTCATCTGTGCCCCTCTTGGAGTCATTTTCCTTCTCCAGGTTGAGGAGATTGAGGTAAGAATCACCCATGTTTCCATTCAAAGCATATCTGGCGGCAGGGTTGTTTTGGAGGGCTGGTGTGGAGGTGGTGGGAAGGTTTATTTCCAGGCTGTATAAGTTCTTCAGGTTCAGTGACAGCGACTGAGCAATAGCCAAGTTATGTAATGAGTGATTATTACCTGTGATTGTCAGAGAAAAAAAAAATGAAAACCACACAAATTAATTAAAATTTCAGTAGCTCAGCAAGTCAGAAGCCATGAGTTGGGACTGCTAGCTTTGAGCAGCATCCTTGTGGCTATCCCCTGCTGTCTGTAGGTCTTATACCAACAGCTCTCTTATCCTAACATCCACATGGTCCTACATTTTATATTGAAAGCGCTTGTGGGCAGGCCTCAAGCCAGTCATAAAATACTACACAGCATTAGCCAAGCTTTTCGGGCTTGTGTGGAAACAAGGAACTTTTTGTACTGTAAAATAATTTTCTCTGCTTTCATTGAAGAAGATCTTTAGATCTTGACCATTGTGTCATAAAGCCACCTTCAGGAGTAGGGCACTAGGCACAAAAACAAAACCACCGCCTAGGGATCGACGTTGCTGATGGAAAACTTTCCCCGCATCTGCTATAGGCAGCTCTGTTAGCCACTAATTAGTACACAGATCAAAAACTGATCACAGACTTAAGATCTGGGGGCTGGGTCCTGTGTCCTTCAAAAAACGCAGAGAAAAGTATTTTACAGCGAGTACAAAAGAAATTCTATTTTCTCTTCCGTTCATTGAAGAACACAGCTGTGATCTGCAGATCTCGACCTCTGGCATGTCCCAAAACAGTATCTACCAAGGGGTGGAACACTCTAACCAACAACTCCCCTCAGGCAGGATAATAACACTGTTGCCGGCAGGACTGTGTAACCAAAACAAGCATCAGTGGATGGAGAGTGATGCCTGTGTATAGCCAAAAGATTAGCAGAAACAGGGGACACAGGAGCAAAATGGTCAATTCCCAGCAGCTCTAAAAAAGGTGCAGCCATCCAGTCCCCCAGCTGCCTCAGTCCTAAATCCCAGAGGTTATCAGAACAAACAGATACAATAGAGGGTGGCAAGCAGACTCACCAGAACAAATAGATAAAAAATAGAGGGGTCAGCAGACTCACTGCAACTGGAGTCCTTGTCCTCTAGAGTTCAGCTCACAGTAGCTGAGAAGGAATGCTAAACTCTCTCTGCGGTGCCAGCAGGAAAGCCGCCCTGCATCCCTGTGACAGTGGAAAAGCACGGGGCCCATAGAATATGGCTGCTGGACCTTCCATAGTACCACAAAACACACAACCGTGCCACATGTAGTCTCCGAGGAGGTAAACTTGCCACCTGCCTCCATGCAGTAATGTCTGCAAGCCCAGTAGTGAATGTACCACACCTGGACACACAACACAGGGAGCACAGGGGAACAGATACCCACAGACCGGTTCAAACCACACAGGGAGAATAAGTGGGAAAAGTAAAATGTATACTCCGCATCCAGATAAGATGAAGGGGGTACCTTCCACCTGACAAGCCATCTCTCGCTATAGCGGGAGCACTGTTTGCCTAAGGGGACACTGTGAGAAATCAACCATGGCTAACAGTTATATGTAGGGATGCTCCAATACCACTTTTTTAAGACCGAGTACTCGCCGATACCAATTACCGATACTTTTTCTTAAAAGGACAGGTCACATTTTTTTCTAAAGCAATACAAAATCATGATTTGAGGTCAGTTTATAATATTATGAAGAACATGAAATGAATATTTATCATGCCATTGCTAACAAAGGCTTGTATCCCCATAGTGGGGAAAATAGATGTTTCAGACCAGAACACTGTGCAGTGCGGCACAGCTATATCCAATTCTGTATAACTGGCTTTATATTATTATTACATTTTTTTATAATATAAAGCCAGGTATGCAGAATTGGATATAGCTGTGCCACACTATACAGTGTTCTGGAGTCTGGACACGTGCTCATCTATTTTCCCCACTAGGGGGATACAAGCCTTAGTTAGCAATATCTACATAGTTATTTCTTTATTTAATGTCTTTTTTTTTTAAACATTATATGCAGTTAAACAGCATTTTTGTGCCCAGCACCCATGCGGTGCTGCAGTACTAATAGAAAACGATTTTGTTTCTGCCTGGAGATCCGAACCATTTAAATGACCCTTTATCTCATTTTTGTTAACCAGATCCGTAACCAAAATGAACCCTATATACCAAAAAGATAAACCAGCTAACAAGAGTGGCTGGTTTAAAAAAGGGTTAACAGAGGATCGGGACAAGTATTCCAATTACAAAAAGAGTTTATTAGATAAAATATCAGTTTTGTTAGTTGGTTTATCTTTTTGGTATATATGTTGCTGCAGTACTAACCTGCTGTGTCGTCTTCTCCGTCTGCTTCAGCCACTACGTGTCACAGCCTAGTCATCTACTCCATTCTGACCTCTTCTCCCGCCGATTGGCCGATTAGATGATGACAGGCTTCCTCACCAGTCACTCCTGACTGGTGAGGAAGCCTGTCAATCATCCAATCAGCCAAACACCGGGAGAAGAGGTCAGAATGGAGCAGATGACTGAGGACTTGGAGGAGGAGTTTGTGGCCATCTTGTTTCATTGAAGACGCTATAGAGGTCCTGTGTGCGGCGGTTTCGGGTCCCTGAAGATGGCGGACGCGGCACAGGTTTTTTGTATCCGAGTATTTGCACGAGTACTCATGCAAATACTCGGTATCGCCGCCGATACCGATGCTTGTATTGGTATCAGTGCATCCCTAGTTATATGTGAGAAAAACACACAGGCTTCCCAAATCCAGGATAGGGCTATCATAGCCGAACCTGCATGTAGCAAGGATCTGCATGCCCAAGCAATGAGTGCATGCAGATTGAGCTGGGTGGACTCCAAGCATCTATATTATCCAGCTTGTCATCCAGTCAACACTTGATTAAAAGGTCTTAAAGACTGAGGGAACAAAAATAAAAGGAAGAATTCCCTTCAAAAAGAAAGGGAACTAAGATTTTTATTCTTAGCAGGGAGCTAAGATCCTCACTCCTTAAAACTAGGCAAAAAACCAGATGGGAATATGGCCATCAGCAGGGGCCACAACTAGATGTGCTTTTGTATTTGTACATAGTCCTTTACTCCTGAAAGTGGCACTATAATACAAAGATCAAGATAAAGGTCTCTATTATACCCTTTTAAGAACGGAAGATAAATAGTAATATTACTCTGATACAGGTGAAAGTCCAGGCAATAGAAATGCCATTCAGCAAACCATTCAGTTTACCTTAATTTAAGTTCTCTGTAATCCACTGCATCAAAGTTTCTACATCAGAAATCGCAGATCAGCAGATTACAGACAGGCATCAGTGCAGTGGCTGACCCTTACCGGAAAACTTCAGGTCAGATCTAATTTCCAGCTCTTTCAGTTCTTTCACCAACAGCGAGATGTGCTGTAACAAGTCACGATTGGTCAGTAAAAGCTGGCGTACTCGAGCCTGAGATTCAATGCGTGCTGCCGTCTCTGCTGCAAGTTGGTCCTTCAGGAGCTGCACCTGCAATTCACAAAGAATACTATGAATTATATGAATACTTTCTATCTAAACTCTCTGATAAGGAAGAGGGTTGAAGAATGGCACAAGATCCAGCTAAACACAATACAGCCCCATAATATAACTATCAGCAGGTGGGAGTTCACTTTCCACACCATTCTAGAACCCCCAAGTCTTATTTATCTACCACACGTTTAATTCACTTTGATTATATTTCCCATCACGCAACTTCTAAAATGTACAGCCCAGTCACTTCATATAGAACCGGTAGAAACAAGAATCTTGTTGAAACGCTTCTGTAAAATACATTTTCTGGAATTTTTGTGCTAAAATATTCACTGAGACACATGGACAAATGATGATGCAGCAACCTCCCTATGATCACAGAGCAGCTAAGTGGACCCATCCTATGACAGGCAAGTATCTCTATGTGGTCACTAAGGTCCTGAACACAAGGAATAGCACATTGCTTATCCTGACTGATTCAAAGAAACCTGTGCTGAAATAAAACCGTTGCTGTGCTCGGTTTCTAAAAATGCTAATTGCTTGGCTGTCACACTGAACCAAATAGTAATGGAATTTTCTAAGATGCTGTCCCAGAAATGTCAGATCACAACTAAAAAATGTTTCAGTGGAAGTTTCCCAAACCATTCATAAATTGCAAAACTAAAAATGAAAACAGATTTTATTGTCATCTTATCTAAATGCAGAGTCATGTAAATAAAATTACGTTTCCCATCACACTGCAGCTTACAATACTTAAAGATGTTGAGATATGATTAAATATTTTTATTGGTGCTTGGGTGACAGTTCGTTGAACTTTGCAAACCGTATGGACAACTTGCTGTCTTTTGCACAACAATTCCCAGCATGCCTCTGTAGCTCCCATGTTAGCTGGCATGAAGGAGAAAACAAGTAGGGTTTAAACAGTAATTCAGAGGAATGATGATTATCATCACAAAGTCCCTGTCTACTGACTTATCATTGGCCTGACAATAAAGCTGGGTATTTTCGCATATTTTTGCAAGGCTGAGCGAAAAAATATGTACGAGACAAATTTTATTTCGTTTTGCTTTATCCAAAACAATCAACCTTCTTTTCTGGAGACTGCAGTAAAAGCAAAGGGTTAACAGGAAGAGACAGTGCACACAAACTGATCAATGAAACACCTATTAGAATTATAAATATCTGGAACTGTATAATGGACCATATGCCAGAGGTATGTGTGCCCTGTTGCCAAACTCCAATTCTCCATGATGATTACAGTGACTGTAACGTTAAGAGGAGTACTTGTAGTGAAGTTAACAAATAGGCAAATTGTACTGAACTGATGTTTTGTAATAGCTAGCAAAATAGGATTTTTTGTCTTACCTATAGAAATCCTTCTCTTGGAGTACATTACAGGACAGAATAGTATTCTGGAAAACTGGGTTATAATGCCACCTTTAGGTGACTGGACACTGGCAAAACAAAGTCATAAGGACATCCAAAAGCATTCCACCTGAGGGGTGGACACACAGCAACCAAAGGCTTAAAGGCCCACAAGAAATAAAACCACAGGCTAACAAAAGGGTCTCAAAAGAGCCTATGGAGCTGCCTGAAGAACCTTATGGTTGAAGCTGGCATTAGCCGAGGCCTGAATATTCACCTGGTAAAATGGGTATGAATGTGTGAACAGAAGACCAGGTTCAGATGCCCAATGCTGAAAAGTCCATTAACCAATCTAGATTTGATTGGGAAAGGTGTAACCTTGCCCTTCAGGTCATAAGCATGAATGATGCGCTGTCAAATCCACCTAGCGACAGTGAAACAAGAAGCAGGTGGTTCCCTATGGGAACCTTCAGGAATGAAAAACAGAGTTGGACTGTTCAAAAGCCAGTTGTAGCTAAAAGATAAAGAGTGTACCACACCCTGAAAATGGAGGGAAATCTCTTTAGGATATGTAGGAGAAGGACAGAGAGATGGTAGGACAATGTCATGCTTAAGGTGGAAGGAAGAACCATCTTGAGAAGAGGTCCTGGGCCTCAAAACAACCTTGTCCTTGTGTAGCTCAAGAAAGGGTTCTGTACATGGTAAGGTTGTCAGATCAGAAACCTGCCTCACAGAAGTGTTCGCAACAAGAAAGGCAGCCATGCAAATAATAATAATATACAGAGGAAATGGGTTTCAAACAACAATGTTTGATGAACCAACAAAACCAGGTTGGCATACTACTGAGTCACTGGGGAGGCTGAGACTTGACCTTTGATGGTACAAAAGGCCAAACCTTTATCCAGACCAGACTGGTAAAAAGGCAGGATTCATCCCATGGCAAACTTCCTGGAAAGGAGCTTGCTTGTCTTGCACCAAGAGAAATCTGCTTGTGTGATGGTAGACTTTTTGAGAATTCAATTTCCTAGTTTTTAAGAATGTAGGGATGACTGAATTTGAATGGCCCTGTTGATCAGGACCTGGGTTTCAACAGCCAAGCTGTTAGCCAGCAACTGAGAAACTGGGTGGTAAACCTTCCCCTGGGGAAGAAGATATGGATGATCTGGGAGGGTCCATGGAGAGCCTGCCAGGAGCCTGGTGAGGTCAGACTACAATGTCCTCTTGATCCAATTGGGTGCAAAGAGAATCACCAGAATGCCCTCCATCTCAATCCTGCGGAATAGGCAAGGAAAGAGCTTCAGAGGAGGAAAGACAGATCTGGCCGAACTGATCCCATAGTCAGCAGGGCATCCACTGCGAAGGCTAGGGATCCCTGGATCTGAAGGCAAACCTGGCCATCTCGCTGTTGAACTTAGATTTTAGGAGGGCCATGTCTGATGCCCCCTCACCTGCAGCAGAGGTCTAGAAATACCTCTGGGAGAAGAGACTATTCTCCAGCATCAGCCTGCCATATTTCTACACCTGCAATGCACCATTATGGTCAAGGCTAAAACGTGACATTCTGCCCAAGCCAAAACCAGATTCATCTTACTTTGATATGCAAGACTTCTGGTGCCTTCTGGTGATAGTTGATGTAAGACCATGTTAATGTCAAACTAAATCCTGTAGGACAATGCATATGAGAGGTCCAGCAATAAAGCGATAACGGGAATCATCTCAAGTTCCAGAATATTCATCTGGAACCAAGCTTCCTCTGACAACCAAATCCCTTGCATCAAGAGAGCACTTAGGATTCCTCCCCTGCCTGATAGGCTGGCAACCATCATGAGCAACATCTTAAGGATTAGGAGGAGGGAATTCCCCAACTCCAGCGCTGTAACTCACCATGCCAGCGCAGGCCTGGTCCTGATGGTCAGGTGAATGGGGCAATCCATAGAGTGAACCCTCTTATTCCATACTGCCAAAATGTTGAGCTGCAATGGCCTGGAGTGAAATTGGGCACACGGACCTTCCTCAAAAATGGAGTGTTGGTTGTCTCCTGGACTTCAGACTCCTAAATGTGGGAGTGAACAGGGTGGATTTTGTAACAGAGAAGGAAATCCTTGGACAGGGCTGTGTCAATTCCAGCACTGATTTCTGGAAATGTAGACTCCATTTGCATCTCTGTACGATCCATGCATTCTGATGGACACTGGCTGCCGGATCCTGAGTTGACAGTTCTCTCAGAAGAAGGTTGTCCAGATCTCTTGCTATGGGGTGCAGAGACATATCCTTTGTCTAACCCCTCAATGTTTGGCAAATGGACATGACTGCATTGGCAGGTAGCACAGCAGGGCTCACCAGAAGAGAGCCTTGGACAAGGTTTACAGTCTTTTGTCCACAGGGTCCTTAATCACTGGGATGTCCTCGACACTGACAATCATGGGATTGTTGAAGCAAGGCAGGGTCAGATCCACCACGGGAGGGACCCACTTCCTAACAAACACCTCCTCTTTTGAAGGGGAAATTACCTTATCTGGAGAGACACACTCAGCATACAAACCAATTGCAGTAGCACATGTACTGGAAAGGTTTTGATTGGTTGGGGGCTTTTAAGGGAGGCCAGACTGACAACATTAGAAACTTGAGGAGCAGGTTACTCCAGCCTAGGCATGTGCATACTGCATCCATGAGTACCGAAATGGCATTGGTTAACCTGGGACTGTCAATTCCTCACTGAACAAGACAGAGAAGGGTGTAACTGCAGACATGGCTAAGCAAGACTCTGATAAGCAGACAGACTCAAGCAGGGACTGTGGTCTAGGCTGTCAGCGCCAGGTCCAAGGAAAGGACGCTGGCAAGAGCCACAAGACTAGTGCTTTTGTGCTATGATCCACCAAACATCTACTATGGAAAGTGAGTAGGGCCAATAAGGGTACTCACAGACACCCAGCTGTGAAGGAGTGGTTAGGTGACCTTCTGTGATCAAGTCACCATAGGTAGCGACAAGGAGGACTGACCCTGGACCCTCATCTGAAATCGTTACATTTTGTGCAGCTTGGCAGGAGAGGCAGAGAAAAGGCTGGAGCATACAAAGGGCACTTGCAACTAGTCACAGTAACCAGGTACAAAAAGTGCCCATACAGAACCCTTAGTGAGGCCCACCCATCCAAACAGCTTTCGCCACTCTAGTGGGCATGCTATCTAAGGAGTCTTCAGGGACTGAATTCCACCAGACTGGTGTATCTCAGCCCTGAACCTACAGAGCACCCTGTGGTTTACCCGACACATTGCGCCATGTGCCTAAGTGAGCATTTAATGCAGGTTCCAGTGCCTGAGGGTGACATTACAGGTCAGCCCCGGATCTTCTTCATGGGGTAGTCTGCTTATTGCCCCCCCAGGCCAAAGATGATGCGGAACCTTGCAAGAAGAATAATGTATTGATAAAAAAAGGACAAACAGAAAAGGGTTTGCTTCTCCCAGAGCAGAGTGAAGATGCCCGTTCTCCTAAAGACAATAGGTAAAAAAAAACTGAGGCATACTGGGAGTAGGAAGGGTTATACTGGGCTATCCTTACAACTTTGTTTTGCCAGTGTCCAATCTCCTGAAGGTGGATGTATAACCAGATGTTCAAAATACTATCCTGTGTCCTGTAATGTACAATCAAAATTTTTTTGCTTACTCTGCAAGATTCACATGAACAATTTTTTTAACCTACAGGGGCAAATAAATTATCAATGTTTTTACAGCTAACCTGCTACAATGTCCTTTTTGAACCTAAAATATGTGGAAGCAGAACTGGCTCCATCCCCTTTCACACTGGCGGAACTACCAGGGTCGCAGCGGTCGCAATTGCGACCGGGTCCTGGTAGTTCCGCCACTTGGGGGGGCCCAGCGAAGAAGTGC